TATATGTGTGTGTATATATATATATATATATATAAAGAGAGAGAGAGAAGGACTCATTTACTCAAAGAGTATGGTAAATTTACTCTATTCAATAATTCATGTATTACATCAAATTTGAATGATTCAATCATTAAATTAAAAAATTTTAATCTATAGATTTACAAATTTTTTAAAATTTAAAAATTATATGATACTTCATTATATAGATCCAAATCAATAGATAATTTTTTATGATTATTCGTCAATTAAATTAATGAAACAAAAAATCAAATAATTTTCAAACTTTTTAAAAATTTACAAACTTGATTTATGCATTAAGAATTTTTAATTTAACGTTTATATCTTTAAAATTTGTTATACAACATGAGTTATTATGTGGAGTAAATCTACCGAAACTTACTATTGAGCCATGAGTTAGTGATTCATTTTGAGATGAAGAAGGGTCATTTGTATTGCAAAGGCAGACTATCACTTTCAAAAAAATTTGCTAGGATCCCAACTCTTTTGAAGGAATTCCATGACTCATATGAAGGGAATCATTCAGGATTTTTTAAGGACCTACAAAAACCTAGCTGGATTTGTTGATTGGGTGGGTAAGAGGTCTGATATCAAGGGCTATGTTGCTGCCTATGAAACATGCCAGAGAAATAAATCCAGCACTCCATCTTCAGCTGGTCTATTACAATCTCTCTCCCTATTCCTACTAAAAGTTGGGTTGACATATCAACGGATTTTATAAGTTCCTTCCCAAAAGCTCAAGGAAAAGATTCCATTTTGATGGAAGTGGATAGACTCAACAAATTTGCTCATTTCTTTGTACTTGCACACACACTCTCAGCCAAGAGTATTGCAGAGCTGTTTGTCAAGGAAGTTGTCTGTCTGCATGGATTTCCTTCCACCATTATATCATATATGGAAGGAATTCTTTAAGATGACTGGAACCTGACTCCAAATGAGCATTGCCTATCATCCTCAAATGGATTGGAAAAATGGAGGCCGTCGATAGATGCTAGCAGGTTTATTTACACTGTTCGACAGGTACAAAACCAAGGCTGTGTGGCCTTTACACTTACCTTGGGCAGTTTTGGTTCAACAAGAATTATAATGCTTCCAGTTCCACAAAGATGCCTCCTTTTAGCGCACTGTATGGCAAAGACCCTCCCCTTTCTAAGAGACCACTATCTCGGGTTGAAGAGATTAATCAGCTCGCTCACCAAAGGGACACACTGTTGAAGAAGTAAAGAGAAAATGTTGAAATCCCTAGATCAAAGGAAAAAGTATGTGGATCATCATCACTGAGACATACATTCGGAGGTGGGGGGTTGGGTGTAACTGAAATTACAGCCTTACAGAATGAGATCTTTGGCAAAAACGTGTAATGAGAAGCTGAGTCCATGTATATATGGTCTATAAAATTCTAGTCAAAATGGGAGTCGTAGCACATCAACCAGAACTTCCCTCTCATACTAAAATTCATCCGGTATTCTACGTGGCACTCTTGAAGAAAGCTACACAGCCTCCACAAAGGGCTCAACCCTTACCTGAAGTATTAATGGAATATTATGAATTGCAATTATTCCCAAAAGTTGTACTGGATTGCAGAGTGAATTATGCTGGTCAACAGGAGTGATCAAATGGTAGCAGCTACCAAAATTTGAAGGCAGATGGGAGGAAGTTTTTGATATTGCTGCAACCTTTCCTCACTTCCACCTTGAGGACAAGGTGCATCTTGATGGGGCAGGTATTGATAGGGTGTGGCCTCCTATTATGAAGAATTATGAAAGAAGAAATAAGGAAAAAGGTGTGCTAGCTACATAGTTAACATAGTTTCAAGTAGTTAGGAATGAGAGATGTTTGTACATATAAATTACAATATAAAAAGGGAGAGCGGCTTAGGAGGGGGGCATTTGGAAATTTTGGGAATTCGTTGTTGGGAGGATTCTAGTCCCTTGAAGAAACAAAGCCATTCTTTCTCTGTAATTCAATTCATTCTTTGGGGTATAAACACTATTTCCTTCTTTTCTTTTCTTTGAGATTCATTTTCATTATATTCTGAACCAGTTTCTATAACTAACAAATAAAGATTATCTCATGATGATAACTCTTCAAAATTGGTGTTCAGTACCTCTTCTATAATGGAGAGAAGGAATTATAAAACGACATTTGATCCAAGCACCAAATAGTCTGAAACCCAATTAGAATATAATATAGGAACAGAAAAATGGGGAAAGTTTAAATTAAATTAAGAAAATGAAGGCAGATTCACTTTTATAGAATCTATACCATTTCTGACATCCAATAGAATGTAATTTCTGTAAGGATCATCTTTTGCTGTAAGATTGGTTTTATTTATTGCTTCCAATCTATCTCTCCATTCTGAAGGTGATAAAGGTATTGCCCGCATTGAAGGATCAAGCAATGAAATATGTGATATACCACCTTCAAACTGTAGACAAATGAATGTCATAAATTGATAATGTTGTCTTGAAGCTATAATTCATCCTCAACATAAAGACATGATAATAAAGACATGTAAAAATTTGTTATAAAACTAAAGCACAGGGAAGTCGTAGCCAATAGACGAGATTTGATCACCCTCAAAAGAAAAAGAAATGGATCATAGCCTCAAAATTGGAAGAAAAATAACAAGACAGTTATGTCAATCCTAACAAACTTAATTTGTAAGACAATATTTTACAGCATACTGATATGGCTTACCTGAACTAGTGAAGGCTTATAACGCAACTTCAATGTTGGAAATGTATGTCCATTTTCTGATGGAGATATCTGAACCAAGATGTCAGAAAACCTTTTATCCTCTCTTAACCAGTTGACATACGCCAGAGCATCTTTTGATGGCCCACTATACTGCAGTAATATATCACAACAGAATGACATATTTGGACTGTTAAATACTGTGAGGAAAGGAAGTCTTCTAGCTACTTTTATAAACGTTGTACTAAGATAAGTAAATATCTATAGAGCTATTATATTCACTTTCTCTTCCATCTCATTTCCGCAACTGTAACATCTATGACTTTCTCTCTCTTCCTTACACCTAAAAATGCAGGTGTAACCATTTTCCATATTCATCACCCTTGGCATTTCCAATCAGGTTAAACAAGAAAATATATCTCTTTCTACGGTGCTACGCATAAAATAATTCCTAAGCAGTACATCGGAAAAACTGACCTGCGCATTAATCCCTTGTTCATTCAAATAGACTCTTCCATTGATGTCGAGACCCTGCTAAAAGACAAAAGTTATACCTGGGGAAAGGCGGGATTCGAAATGAACGTTGGGTCAAACAATTAATTTGTCATTATTAACTAATCACATCAAATTAACTATTGCTGAAGCAAACCCGTATAGGTGAATGCATTCATGAAGAAAATGATTTAGTAATAGCAATACTTTCTACTGTGTTCAGGATACCAAAATTAGAGTGTGTTTTTGAGAATTTCTACTTAAAATAAATTCAGCAGACTCTCAAAAATGCCATTTAAGATAAACAAAAATTTAAACGTGGTATAAATTTTCCCAAGCACATGGTCATTGGAAAATTAAAATTAAAGCTCCAAATACAATTTAAAATAGAAAAGGCAACAAGAAAAGGAAAATGAAAGCGAACCTCCAATTCCAAGAAAGAACGGTGTTTGGCGACTTCAGCTAGTGGGTCTTGGATGAACACAAAATGGTAGAAATTGACGACAACAAAATCAAAATCAAAATCGTCCCTTGAACTTGAGGGCTGTGTTAGTGCAGCGGGAACCAACTTACGATGGATAAGAGCGACAGAAGAGGAGTTGCTGAATTTGAAATTGGATTTGAAGAAAGGCTCTCGTAATTTCAACACAAAACTTGTGTTGCAAAAGGAAGCGGTAACTATAGGAGCGAGAGCGAGTGCATGTGCACCTGACCCAGACACCTCACTGCACCACCTCATCCTTTCTTGCCCCTCTACGTGATGCCACCGAATCTGTGAATTGTGTTAACAAAATATTGAATCACAGCCAAGGCCCAAGCCCAACTCATGTCCACGGCTACTAGCACTAAATTTTGGGGCACAGCTTATAGAATATTTACACGGCAACACGAGGACTAAAAGATTTAAGTAATTCAAGTTTATTAAAAAGCATGAAATTGTCAACAAGTAAATTTAAATTTAAAATTTTAAAAAGTCATTCAAAGTTAAATTACTTATCTGTAATAATTAAAATAAACTTTTGTCACTTACATTAATCTTACCTGTCCAACAATACAGCAGAATATATGTAAATAAATAATCCAACAGAAAAAGAGAGAGAAGGGCGAAGAGTGAGCGCGGTTGTAATGGATAATATAATGTCGGATAATATTGTTGTTAATATTTAAAGGATTATTTATAAAAAAAATTAAATTATTTAAGAAAAATCTAACAGTTTGAAGATAAAATAGATGTCATTTTAAATAGATGAATTAACATATTTTTTTAATGGAAAATGCTAACATGCTCTTAATATACCGGTTAAGGAACAAAAAGTAATAAGTATTTATTAAAAAGTGATACTCTCCCTTATAATTTTATTTTATTTTTAATAAAAAAATTAATATTAATTTCTTAAAGCACTATACTTAGCAAGACATTTTTTAATTATAATTCCCCGTATCATTCCAAAGTAGTGGTCTCCCCTCTGATTGCCGGATTGTGCCCGCAATGATATGTCTGTCAATGTCATATATCGATATAATTATGTTTTGGAGAAAGGAAAAGGAAAACGTTGGAATTTGCAATTGCAGTTGTGGGGTGTCGTCAGTTGATTTATTTTGTGTTGGTTAGTGATGTCAATTGCCAACCAAGTTGATATGTCAAAGTGTGAAAGCAAGAGGGAGTGATGATGTTGACAGAGTTGGAAGTCACGCTAAAGCAGAGACAGCAATCCTTTTGTTTGGGCTAATAAAACTGTTTTGCTTCGTTTCTCAATTGCTGAACAACATTTTCCTTCGATCCTCTCTTCTTTTGCTCTTCCCTCACTACGAGTGCACCGTCAACATGAACGGGAAAGCCTCCATCTCTAAGGAGCTCAATGCCAAGCATGCCAAGGTTTCATCAATCCATATGCTACTTCTGTTTAACAATTCATAAATATAGGAGATGCATGATTTTATGTTTATTATTGCTTGACGCTTTTAAGTCGCTGTCTTTTGTATTGGAGCCATGGAAGGGAGTGATTTTTGAAAAGAAAGAACCAAGATTACATAACAGTGGTGATGCTATGGCAGCTTTCCCGGTGCGGGAAGAAAGAACTAATTAAGATGATTGCATAGCATCTTTTGAAAAGAAAAAATAAAATTTGTATCAAAGGATATGTTGTTTGAGCTCTTGGAATGAAAGTGGAATACTCATTTCATTTGCATCGCATCTTACTCTGATATTTTTATGTCATTCTATTCTAATAAACTTTTTTATCTAGATTAATGCTGCATTCACTGTCTGTTTATTTCATTTTAACATGAGTTAGAAAGTTAAGCTTTTCCATATCAAAATTGCCGGTACATACTAGACACGTAGTTGCAGCATTTCTGTTTGTTGTTCTGTGGTTTGTGGTCATCGGCATGACCATATTTTCATTGTAGTTTTGCTGAAGTTTCATTTTGTTTATGTTGCGTCTTTATGCAGATATTAGAAGGACTTCTTAAGTTGCCTGAGAACAGGGAATGTGCAGATTGCCGGAACAAGTATATACATTTCAGAACTCATTATTTTATTTTATAAACAATATTTTTTTTCTTTCATTTGATATGTTTTTAGTTCTTAAAGATATGATAATGTTTGTTTTTAACTTCTCAAAATATGTATCAGATGTGATTCTTATCTTTTTTACATAAAATTTTAAAAAATTTCTCTCATTTAAAGATATAAAATTATATATAATACATTTCAATAGGTAAAAGACTCAAAAGGAATCGATTTATTTCTGAAAGATTAAGATTAAGAGCGAATATTATTATCCGACTAAAAACATATTTAATTTCTTAAATTAAAATAGATCATTATCAACACGCACATCAGTTGTGCCCGGTAGTAAATGTGGATATTTAAATGGTACATATAATGAAATTTGAGAGTACTTTTTTATATATAGTATTTTAATATATGTTATGCGAAATGAAGAAGGAATTAATTGGTATTTTTATTCCTTCTTCAATTTGCAATTAAGTTCCGATCCTCTGATTATGGAGATATTTGAGGATTGTAAATATCTCGATAAAAAAATTTACCTAACAAGTCATTTCAATATGGTGATTCAATTAGCAATGGGACATATAATGAAATTTGAAAGTACTTTGCTTTTTTTCGTGAAGCGGATAAAAGAAAAGCCATTTACATTCGGAACAAAATCGAATACAATTTTAAACTAAATGATGTTATAAAAGTTTAATACACAAAATTTTTAATGGGGTTTTTAAACTAAAAAAATATAATTAAATATTTTATTTTTACAAATTTTTTAATTGATCCTTAAAGATTTTATAATGACTTAAAACCGTTAGAACATATTTTTTTAAGGAATTTTAATTTTAACAACTCAATAACAAAAAAATATAGTAAATCAAACTATCAATCAATTATAACTTTTTTTAGTTTAAAAAATAATTTATTTTTCTTAGAAATTCAAAGATCTATTAATAAATGTTATAAATAAGTTGAACTTTTTCTTTCTACATTATTCTTTTCGGAATGGGATCCACTGCAGTTATTTTCGAAACTGCAAGATGTGAAGTTCACAATAACACCATTAAAATGTTTAGGTTGTTTTATGAAAAAATAAAAAATAAAAATTTGTAAACACCATTTTAAAGTTTACGAGCCGTTAGATACAAATTTACACGGTCCAGTTGTAAACACCAAGTGCTTCATGCTAGAACTTCTCTAACTGCAGAGGATCTGCATTCGTTCTTTTCATACTTTAGTTGTGAACTTTCTCCTGTAGAAGCAGGAAGAGATGTTCACTTTATATTGCATCATTATTATTGTTTTTCTTCCAAACCTACTGGTTGTTTTGGAATCCTGTAAATTTACCTTTTGATTTCCCAAATATTGTCAGGGTACCACGATGGGCAAGTGTGAACCTAGGAATTTTCATTTGTATGCGATGCTCAGGAATTCACCGGTGTCTTGGAGTGCATATATCAAAGGTTTACATTCTTAATTGCTTCTTTTAGCTTATCAAGTTCTCTTATATGCAGAGACTTTTGAGTTTTTACATAATAAATGCTTGAGAATTACGACAAAAATACCACTGGATGAGCTAGATATGTAGAAGTGGGATTATGCATGCTCACCTCCTATCTACACCTTTTATTTTTCCTCCAAAGTTGCCTCATACTTCTATCTGTCAATCACGTGAACCACTTGGTATAGACTATAGCAGAATTTATTTCTTTGTTGCAAATAATTTTCTTTAATGATTTTCTAATTGTGTAGTTTTTGTTATTTTCTTAATAAAATGTTTTGTCTACATAACTCTATACAAATAGTTGCAAATTGGTAATATAAAATAATTTTCTTTAAGCAATTCGGTATTTTTGTCTTATAGAGAGTTATAATAAAGCAATATATACTAACCTGTTCTTTACGTACATTTTTCTTTTTATATCAGTAAATTGATAATGATTGAGCCTTCTCATTTTGCAACTAGGTGCGGTCCACAACTTTAGATACATGGTTGCCAGATCAAATTTGCTTCATGCAAGGTAAGAAACTATATAATCTGTTTCTTTCTTTCTTAATGAAAAATAATTTTAATTGAATTATGGGTAGATGTGAGTGGCACTCGGTTATAAAAAAAAATGCAAGGTAATCTGTGAGATTCTTTTATTATTACTTTGTCAGAAGAATTGAATAAAATATATTAGTAAATAACACAGATAGTCTACCCCTACTCTAATGTAGATAGTGATCGAATATCGGAAAATATGTCGTTTGCATCTTTCTTCTCAATACAAAAAAGTTTTTAACAAGAAAAATTGATTTGTTTATTTTATTTGCTGTAATCGTTACCTATCTTAACTAAACTAGTTCCCGAATTTACATGTTTTACGCAGTTATGGGCAATGAGAAGTCAAATAAGCACTGGGAGGCAAAAATTCCACCAAATTTTGATAGAAGTAAACTGGGAATTGAGAAGTTTATCCATTCCAAGTAAACCTCTAATGAACTTTTTTTAAGACATTGTTTGAAACTAAAAGATGATTTCCATGTACTTTTTGTTTTCCGAATATACTTAACTTGCTTAAGGTCTTTTAGGTATGTGGAGAAAAGATGGGCTTCAAAAGATGAACTGCAATCAACTTCGTCAGCTGAAATAATTTATAATGTTGATGAGTCACGAAATGGAGGGGCAAGGAGTGGTAATCTGAAGAACAACAGGAGACTTTCTCTTGAAGAAAGCATTCTTGCTAACCACGTGGCACAAATTCTACCACCAATAACAAGATCTCGTGGGGTAATCATGTTATTCATAAAGTATTATAACTGTGACACATGTTAAAATGTTTGGGACAAAATACAAACTGCACACGCGTGTATACTCTAACAACCCCTTTCAAACTCAAGGTGCGCTATTGAACCGTTAGAGAATGAAGTCAGCAAAGAGAGTTAAGTTTTGTGATCAATTCTGGAATGAGTTAGGTATGTTCAATTTGAATTTTGAAGGATTGTTGAATGAAGATGATCATTTGGGTAAATAAATCACTAAAATAACACTGAAAATGATATCATATTTATACAAAATAGAATATAACAAATATTTATAACAATGAATGATCTATCCATCTAACAATTTACTTAAATTGATCTTATATCTAAATTTCTAGTCAAGTTCATATAGGTCATAGGATCCAAGATTGTTGCAAGTATTACAGATTTAAGGCGCTTGTATCACGTATATAATCGTTGAGCAGATAACTGATTGTTTCATGTGTATGGTTGAGCATATAGGATATGTTTTCTAAGTGTATCTATGCAATTCAGGGTTTTATAGACTCGCAAAAGAAGAAATCGCCTCCATTAAAAAGGCCATCCTCATCAGTTGATTTTGACAAGTCCACAGGAAAGAGCAATGATACTGGTGACATTTTCAACTTGCTTTGCATCTATGACGATCCCCAGAGCTTCTCAGCCGTGCCTCCTTCAAGTTGGGCAACATTTGATTGTATGATATAAAACATACTTATATCTATAATCTTTTATACTTTTTATTTATTTCAATTGATAAAAAAAAAAAAAGTCCTCACTGAATAGTGAACTTTGAAGCTAGTAAAGATGTTTGACATTTTACATAGAATTAAAAAATATAGACAATTATCTTCACTTCAACAAATTCTTTCTTGTTCTGTTCCTAACCCTTTAGTTGCATTTCACAACAAAAGATGAAGGGAAAATTCTTATGTTTAACTTGAAAAGAGTTGCTCTATTTTCATCCATTATTTTCTCTTGATCTAACGATTCTAATGAGTAGTTAATCTTTGATTATTAGATTGAAAGAAAATAAAAGTAATGGTGAAGAGTAATTTGATCATTCTTTATATAATATATATATATATATATATTTAAGTTTATAGCTTGTTCAGCTAATCATTGGTGTACATATCACAAATAATTTAGTTACAAATGACGCTGTGATGTGGCATGAGCATGAAGCTGCACAAATTTGGTGTATGCATCGCTTTTCATTTCAATTTTTAACAATAAAATTTGCACTTTCATAGTTTGGTGAGTCTCGAGATTTGTGTACATTCCCTTCCATATCTATACACTTATTATGCTTTGTAGTTATTAAATTACCTGAACTAAGTCTAAGTTAGATTCAATTTGTCTTATGATACAAACAATGATTGTCTTTTATAACAGGGTACGTTTTAGACTTGTAACTGTCAGTTGCTTTTTTTTTATAATCATTTTATACCATAATACTGTACTTCTAGTCTTTGGTAAATAATTATAGCTTATTTGATGTTGTTGTATTTATTTAAAGAAATTATTTTTTTTTAAACAGGTTCGTTTGAGTAGAATTTTTTGAATCAACACAGTGCAGCAGGATATAACATCTACATCACTTTGGTGTTGAGGTGCCCATGAAATGGTTTGATTCACATCGTAGTCCAAGGTTCATTTTTCTCACAGTATTAACTAATTTGAGATGGACAAAAGGATGGGGAAAATAATAGTTATATTTCTTCTTTTACAAACTTTTCTTCTCCGGTCTGTGACAGGGAAAAAAACGTTAAATTTAAATGACTTGCCTTACATTTGTCCTCTTAGCTACCTTCTCATTTCTTTTTTATCTAAATAAATATACAATGTTAGCATTGCGTTGAATTTTGGTTGCTTAATAATGATTGATTTCGTCTAGAAAAGTCTATTAATCTTACAAGTTGCAATGCCACTTGTAGTAACAAGTGTTAAATCATATTGGGTCTTGGCCTTCTCGCGGGAGTTAGTCTAACGAATCTACAAGTCTAAAACAAAAATTAAGAAGAGATTTTCAAGTTATTAAAGATATTTTATTATTTTCTTGAACTCGCCAAGATACAAAATTTATCGACAGAGAAAGTTATAGATGAGGCGGATTCTATCGTGAGGTACTAGACCAAATGGTTCACCAATGGACTAACAAAACAACTGTTATAGTAAATAAATATTATTTTAATAAATTAATAAAATTTTATTTTAAAATAGTTAATTGATGCTGCATGATTGTGTTTGATTTTCTAATTCACTGAGTCAAGTGTTATTACAAGTGATTTACTACATGTCAAAAATATTTCTCGTTACATTTTATCATAGTATATCTCAAAATATTAACTAGATTAAGAGGTATAAGTAGTGGTGGACTTGCATAGTATTTGGGGTGTGCAAATGCACCCTCTCAATTTGAAAAAAAAAATATATAATTTTTTTATATTTTGACTCCATAATTTTATGTATTTGAATTTATTACTCTTAATTTTTTACTTATTACCAATATTTTTTTCTTTAATAGTTGTAATGATCAAATTAATACGAAGGTGTATAAAATAATAAATAAAAATAAATAAGTCTTGATGATCAAATGAATACTTGGTAGGTGTGTAAACCAATAGTAAAATAAAAACATATCTAGTATTAATTTATGGGGAAAAAAGTCTTTAATTTCATTAAACTAGTCTATTTAGCCGTGTATTGTACACAAATTTAGATAAATTTTTTTATAAATAATAAATTAGTTTTAATCTAGTAAAATAAATTTATTTTATATTTTATATGATTTTAAAAGATGATGCAATTATATAAACTTAATACCCAAAATTGATTCTTTAAAATGTTTAAAGATAATTTTTTAAAAAAAAAACCATGATTTTATTATATATTCACTATAATTAAAAATAAATATTTATTATATCTAACCAAAATTTAGATATAAAAAAATTCAATTTTTTACTTAAATTTATTAAAAATAAAATAAAATGAATACCTTATCTGGGTTATTAATAATTAAGTTCAAAAAATTGATCTTTAAAAGATTTAAAGATAATATTGTAAAAAAGGATTTAAAGATAATTTGAAAAAGGTAATAATTTTTTGTGTCTTTATATATTTATTATAATTAAAGAGAAATATTCATTATAATTGATGTTGATTTCGATAAAAATAAATATTAATTTTTTTTGTAAATTATTTTTAAATAGAAACATATTATATTACAAATGATCTTTTTCAAACTTAAAAAAAATTGTTACACTTTGTTGCTATTTTTTTTTTTCATTTTGTTGACGATCTTAATGTACTTTAATTTTATGTAATTATTTTTGTCAATTTTTTTTTGGAATTTACATAGTCATCAAATAATGGGAGAAAAGATGACTGTTTAGAAGGAAGTGATTGATGACTATACTTTAGGATTAAAATGATTGATGACTAAAAAAACTCAAAAAAGTTAAAAAGAAGGACGAGACTAATGCAATGAATGGGAGTATGGATGATACTTTTGCAGCTTAATGGTGATAAAGACTCGACCAAGTCATATATAGAGAATCTTTTATCTATAGAGGGAGAAAAGATCTTTACTGTTATTAATAGTCTTGTGAAAAAAATGGAACCTCTAGAAAAAGAGATCTACAAGGAAAAATTTGCCTATGATGATGATGATTCAGAACTAGACCCTTGTCCTAGTGACACAAGAGGCATTTGAAGAATGATGCATGTACTAACCACGTAGAATACCGAGATTAAGCTCGGTATCCAAGCGTTACACGACATCGGCCAACATAAAGGCCCATCATATATTGGGCCACGATTAATCGCGGGCCCAAATCAACCTCATTCGAAAAAAAAAATCTTAATTCACATCGAGGTACGTGTACTATACATACAAAACATTCATACTACCAAAAATTAACTTGAGCATCAAAATCTCTTTTGCAGGTACCACCCTATTTCAGTAGTAGACGTGCCGACCAAAGGAGACTCACCGATATTGCCAAGCAGATCATCCCTCACGACCGATCTCAAGTAAGAACATCTGACACCCACCGTGATGTCATCTTTGTCGGAATCCGACAAACGCAGGTAGCTCGACCCATTGAACTTCACTAGGCTCTGCTACCAGAAGAAAGGGAACTTCGGCTCCCCTCGTGATGGAATACCTCCTCCGTCTTCAGGTCATTATTGATAGGACGAATCCGCACAAACTCCTTCTTAAAGTTCTTATAAGATTGGGAGTAAAGTTGAAACAACCCTCCAACCTTACTCCCACTTAGAGACACCCAACCTAAGGGAGGCTCGCCCAGCTTAAGCTGGTAGAAATGAAGAAAGACAGACAAAGAGACATTCATCCCCAGGGCCGAGCACAAAACTTGAAAGGCCCGCAAAAACCCCCAACTGTTGGGATGCAATTGACAGGGGGCTACATTCACAAACCTAAGAAACCCACACTCAAACTCGGTGAAAGGCAAGCAAACCCTAAGGTCTCTAAACAAGCAGCGGTACATGTAAAAGAACGGGGTATTCACAGTACCCGCCATATACACACGCTCACCGGGTTGGCAAGGCTCAACCCGGATAAGTCTAGAAATGGCCTACTTGCAGATCGTCAACGACTTCCACAACACATTCACCTTGAGAAAAGTCCTAAACTTACTCTCGAACTCACCGACATCCCACTCATAGCCAGGGACAGAAATGGTGGGGTGCGAATCCTTGGGGTTGTTCCCCCTTTCTTCTTCTTCTTATCGTCAGCAACAACAGCCACTCTCCCAGCAACCACCACCGCCTCCTCACGCGCCAGAGCCTTTCCCTTGGCTCTCCCCGTGGTGCCCTCAGGGAGGATGGCCCCCCGCTCTCCCTCACCGGCCATCACTCACAGTACCACTAACAGAAAGGGAAAATGGAAACAGAGGAGAAGAAGTACCTGGTACTCCTAGAACTCTGACAAAACACTTGGAGACAACGACGACCGATGATGAATGTGTTGCCGAAAATGATGACGGAGAAGACAGACGGAGCCAAAGAACTCAACCCGCAAATGAGAAAACAATTAAATATGCAAATGAGGAGGAAACCAGTTTTTTAAAAATATGGAAAACGACAAAAAGGGCAACGCATTTAATAGGGCTCATAATGACAGGGTGCATCCCATCATTACAAGCCGCCACTCTTCATTACAAGTCGCATTCCCGTTTCGTGAAACAAGGCGACGCCTTCATGACACGTGGCGCTTCGCCTAAGAGGCAGAGACGAAGGGTCGCGACCTTTCACCAAACTCAGTATCACCTCTTCAACCCGAGGTTCTCAGAGCTCGGGGGACTAGTGTACTAACCACGTAGAATACCGAGATTGATCTCGGCATCCAAGCACCACACGACATCGGCCAACACAAAGGCCCACCATCCATTGGGCCACGACTAACCGCGGGCCCAAATCAACCTCATCCAAGAAGAAAACCCTAATTCACATCAAGGTACGTGCCGACCAAAGGAGACTCACCAATCTTGCCAAGCAGATCGTCTCTCACGATCGATCTCAGGTAAGAACAATGCAATTTGTAAAAGAATTCAATGGTTATCAATGTGTTAGGTAAGCATGTTACATAAAAAAGTGATTAAGAACAAGGTACAACGTGAGTGGGCATAGATCAATGTTGTTCATATTACTAATATGCTACAAGACTATTTCCTCATACAACTTGCAACTTAAGAGGATTACAAACATGCTTTATTTGAAGGTCTTAAATGATAGTTGATCAGTATATTGTGGTTTAAAGGTGGAGACTTTTTTTTTTTCAAAAGTGAGAAAGATTGTAGTTTAGATGAGAATATTGAACCTCCTTATAGAGTTGTATAATGATAGGTTCATATGCAAGTTGACAACAAGTTAGGCACCATGTTGGAAATTGATAAGTTAACCTCTATACAGTTATGGAGGCATTTTGCAAAAATATGTGTAGAGATTGACCTGGGAAAGAAGTTGGTTTCCTAGATCAACATATTGATTTATATCTTAAAAATTAAATATGAAGGCATGCACTCTATCACTAGTACAAAAATCACTTTTAAAATCAAAGTTTTAAAATCGGCTCTTAAGAAGCCGATGTTAAAAGTGACGCGGTAACAATTTTGTAAATAATGACATTACTTTTTAAATCGGCTACCTTTTAACCGATTTTAAAAAGTCTCTGATGCAACTTTTAAAATCAGTTCTTAAGGAACCGATGTTAAAAGTAACTTTTAAATTGCAGTACGGGCAATTCTAATTGCAGTACGGGCCGTTCTAACTGAAAAACGGGTTGTGCTGCAACCAGAACGAGTCGTTCTGATCGCAGTACGGGTCGTTCCAGACTACAGTTTTAGGCCTTTTGAGGAAACTGGAACGACCTATGTCAATTTAAAAGTCTAACTTTTAAAATCGGTTTATGCATGACCATGTTAAAAGTTACCATGTTAAAAGTATAACTTTTAACATTGGTTAATGACCGATGTTAAAAATGTCCCTTTTTAAAATCGGCTCTTTTAAAATCGGTCAGAGAACCGATTTTAAAAATAAGAAATGACTGATTTTAAAAGTGTTTTTTTTTTCACTAATGTATGTTTTAAGTGTGGTAAGTATGGTCACAAATAGTCATAGTGCATGGATTCAAGTGGGATAGAAGTTGATCCTAGAGCACCTAGTCTTGAGGGAGCATCCATGGAGGTTGACGGTGGTGTGTAGAAGGAACCAATAGTATCATAAGGCATGAGTAGTTTCTTGAGATACTTTAAAAGATTCAAATTGTTACAAAATTTGTTTCGGATCTTTAGACAAAATATGATGTATATAATTATTTTAATATCCAAATGAATAACACACAATTTTATTTCACATTTATTCTTTAACCTTATATTGATCAGCCAATCATTACAAAAGTGGAAAAATTAACTTTGAACAAAATGATTAAAGTGAGAGTACAACAGTTTTAAGTATAAAAGTCACATTCCTAAAAAAAAAAAAAAAAAAGGTAACGTGTATTATTTATAAATAACAGCTAGAGGTTAGGATGATATAAATTGTAAAAGAAAAGTTGGAAAGAAGGTTCACAAATAAATAAATGAAATTTGCTATATTTTATAGCCATCTACAATTTAACTTTATGTTTTCCTTACAATTTTCCATTTTTAAGCTTTATTTAAAGTTTTCTTCGTCTAATTTAGCCTTTTCTCTATATTTATCCGCAATTCTTGTTTTTCAACACTTTAATTTAGAACTACCACAATAGGAATTTTTTTGGAATTAATGGACTAGAAACTCAACCTAAAGACAAAATCTTTTTTCTCAAACCAATCACTTATTTGAGAATCTATCAGGTATTAGCTAAGGTAACTACTCATAATTTTTTACACCAACAATAACACACAATAATAAATAAATAAATAATTCATACGTGTAGTTTTTTAACACATCATTTTAACATAATTTTCTAATCCATAATGATTCCAATTAATTAAAAAAAAAGTCTTGGAATAAGAAAATAGTTAAATATGTAAAATTGCGATTCACATATCATTTAATGTTTATCAAATTTTTAGTTTAAATAAAAAACTGAATCATAATTAAATTCAGACAATTGTTAAGAAAAATTAATCTCTTACATGAATATTAATATTTTGATAAATTATTCTTTAGTTTTTGGCCAATTTAAAATAACAATAGTGAAGTTTAAACGATAATCACATAGCATTATTGATAATGATACGTTGATGTGTTGCGTGTAGATAATATAATATTGATTCATTTGGATTTTAAGAAGTGGTATTACAATCGGAATATCTTCGTCTGGAATACCAAAAGCCAATTCTGATTACTTTTTTTAGGCAAACTAACAAATCAGCGTCTGATAAAAAATTTGTGCCTAGTATATACTTTTTTAAAGAAGCATATTCCATCATGCCAAAACTCATTTTGCTTAATTATTTTAATTAGTTTGTAGTTCCTTTTTGAACTTTTTTTTATTGAAATTAAATGAAAAAAAAAACTAATTAATTTATAGTATTTGTTTCAAACGCCACTCGAAGTAATGTTTGACTCAATAATTTGATCAGTTTTTATTTCTTTATCTTTTTCTTTAATATTTCAATAAAATTTATCTTTTACCCATTATTAATTAAGATAACTTCAATTTCCACCCTTTCATAATACTATTTTTTTAAAATAATTATAACAGCAAAATATAAATTTAGGATCACCGCACAAATTTATTAAATTCAGTTGATCTCAATAAATTTCATAATAATTTTTTTGTGTATATAATTGTAACAAGATGTAAATTTAGGATTAGTGTACAAATTTATTAAATTTTTTATTGTATCCTTTCAATCATAAGAAAGTCTACATAAGAGTAAGAGAATGATCCAACTTAACCTTTACATCTTTCATAAAGAAGATTAGTGGATAAGGATAATTTTCTGATATTTTATTGAGAGAGTTTGATCAAGTAGATAAGTATCCTTACTTGTAAAACTGCTCAACATTTATCTCAAGACTTAAATCCTGACATAAAATCTAATAATTAAGAATTATGATTGAGCACCAAAATATGATACCAATAATGGATAAATTCTCATAAAATTTTAAGATTTTTGGAGTCCATAAATTCACAACAATTAGGTATAAAATCTTCATTTTAAAACAAAAATAAACAGATTATACTCTTTGAATATTCTGGGTTTGGAACTACAACTAGGATTTTTTAAAGGCAATCCTTCATCTAGAAACGCTTACCATTAATTAAGTTCATTTCTCTTCTTCTTTAGATGTTACAATTTTAAACTTGTCGTGAATGAATGTTGCGGATTGGAATACTCCAAATTTTAATTGCATAATTTTAATTTTTTAAATATAACAATTCAATCATTTTCATTTTTTATCTATCAGAATTACAATGACAATATCATTGTGTAAATCTAAAATCATGTATATTTTACTCCAATCTTTTCATCACTAGGTTGACTCTAGCAGTTCAATATCTTTCTTGTTAAAAATGTTATTGAATATAATTTTTTAAAATATTTAAAAATAAAATTAGAATCCATAACTTTTGTCTTCAATAATAACACTTAATCATTAAACTAATGTGTTTCTTAAATATATAAATGAAAATTATAAATTTATAATATATACTTTCAGTGAAAATTGAAATTTCACATGTTTATTTTACAAAAAATAAATAAATTATATATTATTAATGTTGATAATATAATTGATAAATTAATTCTTATAATATTTTTAGAGACTAAAAATATATTTAAAATTACTATAATTTTTTTTAGATAAATTTTTTAGAAGAATTTTTAAGAGAAAAATAAAATATATAAACTAAAATAAATTTATGCATAAATTAAAAACAAACTTTTGAAAAAAATTAATATAAAATAATTTTTACATTTTTTATTTATTAAAATTACAATAACGATATTAAAATTCTACTCCAATCCCTCGTTATTAAACCGATGATAGAGATTAGCATCAAGTTAATTTAAATTTATATAAAAAATATTTTAATTAAAAGTTTTACAAATATTTTGTCATAAAAATATCCAAATATGCACTATATATACCCCCATTCTTGTAGGCAATTGGGTGCTTGATCTTTTTCTTTAATTATCTGCGTAGTTTTCTTTTGGAAATTAAATGGCGAGTTGTCCAGAGAGGCGAGTAATGGTGTTAGCCATGGATGAACATGAGCATAGCAATTATGCCTTGGAGTGGACCCTAGACCATTTTTTCACCCCTTTTGGTGCAAATGCTCCTTTCAATCTTGTAATTGTCAATGCAAAACCCTCTCCCCCGGTGGGCGTCAGTATGGCAGGACCAGGTAAAATGTTGTTCTTTGGTAGTGTTAGGGAAACACACTTCTATAGGTAAGGTACTAAATTTGTTGTTGGAATAACAGGGGCCCTTGGCTCTGAAATTTTCCCTGCCGTGGCGGTGCAGCTCAAAGTGATTGCTGATCAAATTACAGAAAAGGCAAAACAAATTTGTGCCAGTAAATCGGTAGTTCTCTTCTACACCATGGCTCGAGATCATTATACCTTTTTAATTTCTTGTTTTAAAAATTTTGATTTATTGGTTTGCAGGTTTTTGAAGTGCTAGTGGAAGTGGTCGAAGGTGATGCTAGGAACGTGCTGTGTGATGCTGTAGAAAGACACCACGCATCCGTATTGGTTATGGGTAGCCGCGGCTACGGAGCTATCAAAAGGTAGTCATTAATTAACTATTGATTATTTTCATATAATAGTAACAAGTAAGCTATCAATTTAATAAATACTTTTTCAAAATTTCCTAGTCCTTGCTAATTAATTATACAGTAAATTGCAGAAATATATACCAATTTTTATGTAATTAAATATGTCTTTAGTTTGATTTTATCTTATTATTTTATGTTTCATTTGATAATTAACATTACATAAGGCCTTGATTATTCATAAACTAGTGAATATTATTGCAGGGCGGTTTTAGGAAGTGTGAGCGACCATTGTGCTCGTCAAGCTCAGTGCTCGGTGATGATTGTGAAGAGGCCCAAGTTCAAACATTAAGCCGCTCACCGCCTTCATATTGTACTGGATTTATTATAAACAGAAAGAAGCATTGTGTCTCTATATTTTAAAAGTAAAAAATAAAATAAAAAATAGTAAAAAAGGTAAAATAGTTATTATTTTTATAGAAAAATCTGTTAAGCACAATTTTACAGTTATTAATGGTTATTTTGTGTTTAAGTTTCTGTGATTTTTTTTAAAATTTTATCCTTTAACTAAAAAATAACAAATACTAAGACATAAAAATGTCAAACGAAATGTTTATATAGAGAATTATCTTTATATATAGTAACAGATTATTTCTACTATTATCTACATCATTATTATTGTCACCATTTTTATTATTATTATCATTATCATCATCAATAAAAATTGATAATAGTAATGGTGACAACAATTATAATAATAAAAATGACAATAATAATAATAATAATAATAGTCATAAAAACAATAATAATAAGGTGAATGTTTATATTTAACTATTATATATTAAACACAAATTTATATGATATTTTTAAATATTTTTTTTCAACTAGAAGATTTTTAATTTTTAAAATTTTTTTATCTAATTTTATTTTTATTAATCATAATTATTTATGAATAAAATTTTAATATGTTTAAAATAAATTATTAATAAATAAAAACAATATTATATTATAATAAAATTATTTATTATAAATCTAAAATATAATTTATGTTAAATAATATCCATTTATTTATATTTCAAATATAATTTATATATTTAAATATATTATTTATTTATATATAAAATTTGTTATAAATTTTAATTATATATAATAAATATTTTGCATGTATATTATACATGATAAAATATTAGTTAAGTTTTAATTTCAACAATTAATTATTTGTATATATAATCTAAATACCATTATTTAGTTTTCTCATATATAATAATAAAACATTCCTTCATTAATTATGCTATATATATATATAGAGGATTCAAACAATATTGGTGTAACTTTTGTTAAGTATTATATTACTCAATAACTTTATATCAAATGTGAATTTTGTAAATCTAAACGTTATTATAAATTTATATATATGTTTATGTTAAATTTTGTTAAAATTGAACAACAACTTGAAAATAATCAAAGTGTTTATATTTTATTATATTTTAAAATGCATATATTATATCATTTTTTTTTTACAATAATGAATTATAAAATAATCTTGGATTAATATAAAATTTTGTATATATAATTTAAGAGTAAAAAAATTTCAATCTAACCGGTGGATTTACAAAATTTACATTTAATATAAAGTTATTGAGCGGTGTAATAGTTAGTAAAAGTTATACCAGTGTCGTTTGAATCATCTTCTCTCTCTATATATATATATATACATGTATATATATATATATATGAGGAGGGTTCAAATGACACCGGTGTAATTTTTATTAAGTGTTACACCGCTCAATAATTTTATATTAAATGTAAATTTTGAAAATCCAACCGTTAGATTGAAAGTTCATATCTATATGTCAAATTTTGTTAAAATTGAACAACAACTTGAAGGTAATCAAAGTGTTCATATTTTAGTATATTTTAAAATGTATATATTACGTCAATTTTGTTTTATAAGAATGAAGTATTAAATCATTTTAGATTAATATAAAATTTGACATATATGATCTAAGAGATATGAACTTTCAATCTAATGGTTGGATTTTCAAAATTCACGTTTAATATAAAGTTATTGAGCGGTGTAACACTTAGTAAAAGTTACACCGGTGTCATTTGAACCCTCCTCTCTTTCTCTCTCTCTCTCTCTCTTTATATATATATATATATCATGACAAGATGTAATAAATATAATTTTTTGGGAATTATTTTTATCTTACATTCTCAAAAAAAACATTCATATGAGGAGGTGAGAATCCAACTTTTTTCAAATCAGGAAGAAAGTTTAATGCATATAAAAATATCACAAATTTTTTTTTTAAAATAAATCTCTCTCTCCTTCTATTTTTCTTCCTCTCTCTCTCTCTCAGTCACTCCCCCTTTCTTCCTCTCTCCCTTTCTGTCTCTCCTTCTCCCCTTCTATTTCTCCTTTTCCCTCTTTGTCTCTCTCTCATACAGACAGTCTCACTCCCCTTCTTTTCTTCTCTCCCTCTCTCTCCTTCTATTTATCTTTCTCCCTCTTTCTCTTAGTCTCTCTCACTCTCACTCCAACCTATCTTCCTCATTACTCTCTTTGCCTCCCATATTTCTATTTCTCTCTATTTATTATATTTTATTATTTATTGACCTTGTCAATTTTTATAAAATTATTAAAGTGTTTTATTTCTATAGTTTAATGATATTTGTTAACATATTTTTTTATTTGAATGAAATAAAATAATATATTTTTATCCTTCTTAATTATTATGTAACATTTTCTTTTTGTTATTTCTTTTTATTGAATTCTATATTTAAATAATTTTAACTATACATTTTCAACTTTTTAAAATAATTTAATGTCATATTTGTAATAAGATGTTAATAAATAAATTTATCTAATGAATTTATTTTAATAAAGAATATTATTTTTTGTAAAAAATATTTGTATAGTCAATAATATACTATTGTAACAAGACATGAAAATCTTTAATTTTTAAGAATCTTATATGAATGTTCGTAAGAATCTTTATGAATAATTAAACATATTTTAATTGTTTTTAGGGAGTGATGATTCTCAGAATTTATAATTCTAAAAAAATTATTTTTGAATATGAAAAAACTTATCTCCTATCAAATGTTCCCAGAAATTAAGTAAAATTATAGTATTAATTGTCTTTTTAAGAGGACAACTAAAAAATTTCACCCCTATAAGATGAATTCTCACTAAGTATATATGATGCAAGAACAATTCTCCTTCTCTCAAAGTCCGATACACGAACTCTCTCACTTTATCGCAATCTTTTTTTTCTCAAATAAGAATTTTAGAATGGATAAGATTAAAATATTTCACCATTATACAAGTGGCCCTATTTATTGTTGGGTACTGGACTCCCTTCTTATATGGAGAAAAGGCTAAAAATTGATAAGCTTAAATTTTGTCTCACTTAGGGGTCTCTTAGGGGACAAGAGAGAGCGTGAATTACACAACAGTTAAGAAGAGAAAGAAGAGAGAAAGAGAGCAGAAAATTTGGTTTGTACACATAGAGCAGTTTCAACAAAATTATGATCCTCACTTCGTTTATCATTGGATTAGGCTAAAAATTTGACAGCAGGTTCTTAACACGGTGATGTTCATTTTAACTGTTGAGATCGTGGATTAGAGGTCTGTGGTTTGAGAAACCAATTTGCACAGTTGCTTTAATTTGAGGTTCATTCTTTATTCTTCAGTTGGAAGACCTTGTTGCTTTAATATATTGACTGGTTGTAAACATTTGTTTATGCATTTGATTAGACTTTCTTGTACCCTTATTTGATCATAGTGGAGCTTGATTGACTGGCTTGTGCCCTTCTACCGTTATTTATTTTGTTGCTTCTCATTGGTTTTTGCAAGTTGGGGAATTTTTTTCGCTACATACTTTGGTGCTTTTGACTATTATGTTGTTGTTTCCCATATTAAAGTGGCATAAGAGCTCCTTGGAGTGGGGCTATATTTACTTACTTAAATGATGTAGGCATATACAAAGATGGTTCCTTTGAACGATACAAATTATTATTTGTGGAAAGGCAGGATGAAAAATTCATTGTTTGTGAATAAATTGCATCTTCCAGTCTTTGCTACTGAGAAGGCAGATTCTATGTCTGAAGAAGAATAGAACTTTGAACACCAATAGTGATGGAATCATGCCTAGGAGGGCAAGAGGTAATACCTTGAAGGAACCAGGAGGAATGGGCTAGACATGAAGATTTGGGCCAGGCAAGGTCCAATGGGCCCAATGGGCTTGGAAGGCCCAAGTTGAGCTTCACATGGGCCCTATCTTATTATAGCCATTTTCTTATGTTTTGTGTATATCATGTTAGTATAGGTTTCATATATTTTAATGTTGTATTTTAGACCACATAGAGTAGCATTTTTGGGCCATAAGCTTATTGGGCCTAGTTTTGGGCTTCATGGGCCTTTGGGCTTTTGGTACCCAATATTGGGCTCATTTTCATTCTTGTAATTTTTCCTTTCCATTGTATTTGCTTGGCCATTGTATTTAGGCCATTAGAATAGGAATATGCAAGGATCACTTAAGTGGACGGATTAGGCTAAACTAGGTTTAATTTGGAAGTCATTTAAGTTGCATTTGAGTCACATGTTTTTCACCACTATTGGTTGAACATATGCTTGCTCAAAACAACCTTAAATGCCATCTAAATTAAACCTAGATGAATAGGAGCACCTAAACTCACGGCCAAGCACATGTGGGCTCAAATTTGAATTCAAATCTAGGTGCCAAAATGTGTGGCTTGAGTTGGCGCCAATGACTCCTAATTCTGTGGCTTATTTAAGTGATTTCTCACCTTTGTAAAATCACTTTGATGCATATATGAGATTTCTGAATTTTCAGCCGAGTCTCACCCTTCAAAGTCTCTCTCAAAAGTTCATTGCCTTAGCCTTAGGAAACCTACATTCTAAGCCTTGGCCGTGAGCAATCTTTTGAGTCTCTAGCTAGGATACTTCCTTTTTAGCTTATTTGAGTTTTGTTAAATTATTATGTTGTTGAAAAACTCTAAAATTAACTAATTTCCTATGATTTTTAGGTGTTAAGAGGTGAACAAAAGTCCAGTTTGACCCTAAAGAGGTATATAAGGTTTCTTTTAGAATTAATAAGTTCATTTTCAAGATTTTTAGAGAGATAAACTAGAGAAAGAAAGTATGAGATTATGAAAATCTTCATTCTTATTTCTAGGCCTTTGATGGGTGGTGATTTGGAGCTCTTGGCTGAGAATCGTCCTTGAGTAAATTTGTGAGAAGCTTTTTAGTTAGCTCGGAGCTATTCCCGTTCTTCTCTTTCTTCATCGGTTCTCTTTGGATTTGAAGTAAGGGAAGCTAGAACGGAATATTTTTTTATTGTTGATGTTGTGTGTTGTTGGATTTGATCTAAATTTATGGGTTTTTTTGTTGTTGAATTTGGAGTGAAAGCTATGTTTTTGTGAGATTTTGGGTGGGTGAAGCATGTGAAGTTGACTATGGATGATTTGAGTCATTTGGTTGTTGCATGTTGTTCTTGTGGTGAGAATTA